CAGTCTTCATCAATAACCTCTCTAGCAAGTTCTTCTAAGGGATTATTAAATATCTGGACTGTGAAATTGTGTGGAGACTTTTAAAGCAGAAGTGGAAAGATGTAAACTCATCACATACTTAGTCACGTGTTATGTGATAGAACTATTTGAGGGACAAAGTAAAGACTCCATTTGTAGGAAAATCAGGGTTTGGGAGTCAAAGGTTCCAGGGGTTTATGTCTGAGACCTTCTGCAAGCTCAGTGTTAACTTGCTTGATTGCAGAGGCTGGGACAGAAAATGTCTGCACAGGTAAGAGCCCGTGAGGCATTGAGGCTGAGGAGGGTTGCAGCTGGGAGCAGTGGGGATGCACTCAGAATAAACCCCTGAAGAATGAAGACAGACAAGGGGCTGCCTGGAGCACTCGAGGGCTGCCTGAATGGGGGGCCTTGATACACCTTTCCCCCAAGATTTAACATATCATTCTAATAATGGAATTGTACTATCATGGGAGCCTTGTGATGAGGTTTCTCCCTGCGTCTGTTTTCCACCATGAGTAACATTACTTCATATTTACTTTTGTTGCTGTAAGTTTTTACAGGGTTTTACGATTTATCCAGTGTGCATGAGACATGATGAGGTAGATTAAGACCAGAACTTTGACTGTTAATACCAAACAATTAAAGAAGAAAATGTGGCACACACCTTTGGGAAGCCATCAGTCATTTTAGCTACACACAAGTTTATTGTTGATTTATTTTTTCATACAATCACAGCATTGCGAAAATATTTTAATCAGAAACTGATTTTTAATCATGTTCCATTTTCAGTGCCTAGGTTTTTTTAAAGATTTTTCTTGATTTTTTTTTTTTAAACTCACTTTCTGTTTAAGTCTTTATCCTATCCCTTACCACTATTTTTTTTATGCCTTGTTTTAGAATTGTCCTTGTCTCTACACCCACCAATGCCATTTCGTGCTTTGAAAATGAATAATAGTTATCTACTCTTAGAATTCAACTTTATCAGCAGCTGTAGCTGCTTTTGAGTACATATCTTACAGTGATAACATAATTATAGAATCATAGAATGGTTTGGGTTGGAAAGGACCTTAAGATCATCTAGTTCCAACCCCCCTGCCATGCATAGTATGCCTCACACTAGCCCATGTTGCCCAAGGCCCTGTCCAACATAGCCTTGAATACTGCCAGGGATGAAACATTTACCACTTCTTTAGGCAACCTGTTCCAGTGCCTCACCACCCTCACTGTAAAGATCTTCTTCCTTATATCTAACCTGAACTTCCCCTGTTTAAGTTTAAATCCATTACCCCTTGTCCTATCACTACAGTCCCTGATGCTTTATTTACTGTTTCTTTACTTACTGGTTCTTACTGGTCAGAAAGTACTGTAGGACTTTGCCTTATCTACTGTTTATTTCTTATCTGGTAGGAGCTTCACACCGTCAGTGACCTAATATGATTTTGAAAAATCAAAATTTTAGTAACCTTTAGCTTTTAAGGATTCAGAAATAGATAGTTTACTACAATTGTTCAATCTAGAAATCTAGAAAGATTAGAATACAGAAAATTTCATCTATTTCCCTTTTCTGGAAACAGTAGACCTTCCCTTGCTGTAGTCTTCCGAAGCCTTACGAGATTTTATTTTTTTTTAATGACTGCCCGTATTTCAAAGGTTACTGGAATGAATATTTTCACATGTGTAGCTTGCCTTTCAGGTAACTTGCACCCCTTTAAACATCATGCAGGTAATCCAGTACTTCTGATAACTCTTGGCAGTTAGATACTAGATACTATAGAGAGTTAGAGGAGAAAGAGAAGTACCAGAGCAAAGTTTTGTCATAATTTTTACACATATATAACTTACACGCATATACCTTACAATGCTGAGGGACCAGAAGTCATTCCTTAGTTTGGTGAGGCTTTTTAGTGTTCTACAAACAAACACAGTTTACCCATGTGAAAGCACAGTAATTTCTTAAGCATTCTGTGCTGAATTTCAGCAGGCCTCTGACCTGAATTGTGTGACCTCATATAAATATTTCTCTTCCTGTTTTTTGTCCTGTACTTTGCCCTGTAGTCTTATCTTCATATCCAAATTAATTTTGGGCATGTTTGCAGAGCTGATTGCAGGCAGGCTTGAACTTCGTTCCCACTGGGAGCCATCTGGCTGGTGGCCAGCTCCAGCCACATGCAGTGCTTCAGCTGATGAGCTGTATTTCTCAGCAGGTCCCATTAAATGCATCCAAGCACCATTCAGGCAGGGTCACAGCTTGTAGTTCAGACGCAGCTTGTGCCTGCCCAGTTCAGAGTATCAGCAATGAGAACTCAACCCTGCGTGTCATTCCCTGGGCAGAAGGACCTTTATCTGAGCACAGCCTCACTCCTTCTGGAGACGCAAACAAGGAAGGCATCTAATAATCTTCTGTACTTATCTGTACCAACTGTCATTTGAACCCCTTTCTGATATCGTAATGTTTGCATTTTGCTGGGGTTTCTTTTTGACTTCACTTATAATACATTGAAGCCTTTTGACACAACTTATCATCTGCTTTGCTGATTAAAACTTGTGTTCTGTTTTAACTTTTCTGCTTTCATGTCCCTGGTGCAGGAAGGCTTAGACTCATGCTTAGTAGCATGCGCATTAATTTGTGCTTTTGCCATGATCTTTTTTCCATGTTTAGTTGGTTGGAGATTACCAGTAGGAGATTACACTGGCCTGTCGCTACACTTCATCTCTAAAGGTACTTCAGCATTTAGTATGGTCTCTTTCAATAGCTGCCATCTCCTATGTCTTTGTTTCTTGGTGTACTTTCCTGAGAGACCTTGTCTGCCTTTTCTCTGAGCCTGCTGGCACTTATGCTGCTGTGCTCATTTTAGCAGAATACCGGTCTCATCCTGCAGCTGCTTTCACTCCAAGTACTACACAGCTGCAAAGTCTTGCTTATGTATTCTCTAAAGGAACAAAATCTGTTTTACCTGTTCCCTCAAATATATTGTTCAGCTTCAGAAAGGAAAAAGTGTCCTTGGTGCATTTTCACAGTTCTCAGCATTGATCCGAACTGAGTCCCTCTGTTAGAAGCAGTTCTTGCCACTGGAACAGACCTTTTCATCCTTTGGTAAAGCCTTGGCCACCTTTGCCTCCTAGTGAGCTAAAGTGACATTTCACAACATTAAAGATCCTGCCCCCTTTCCCATATTCTGTTTAGTGCTCACGCTCTCTTTGCCATTGATGTGTAAGTCCCAATAAAAAGTTTAATGTGTTATTTTAACTAAATACTGAAAACAGTAATATCAGATTTATCCATGATTGATATATCTTTGAGTGCCTCTCGGAACTATTTCTTGCAGTATTCTTGCTGGCTGGGAATAACTTTTCATGTATGTATGAAACAACAGTCCTATTTTTGCATCACAAACATATAGTTGTGAATATATAGTGTTTCCTCATAGTCTCTGTGAAATGAATGCCCAAAGCAGTTGTGGAATTTGCTCAGAATCAGAAGACAGAATTTATTTTTTAATCTTTGCTGGGATGGGAGTGTATGTAAATTGTCAAGTGAAATCCTAAGTATGTATGAGGAGGTCGAATATGGACTTTGCAGCAAGTATACCCACAATTGAAAGAATATCCATCTCTCTACTTCTGAAAGGGTTCTTCCCCTGTAACTTTCTCCAGACATCCTCCACTATAACTGCTACTTTCCCCTAAATAAAATCTGATCCCCACCCACTTTCAGCTCAGGAGCTGCCTGAGCAGATATGGTTTCTATGTGTTTAGTAACCCTCACTGCATCTTTAGGGGTTTCTCCTTTTTACTTGTGCTTATTCTGGTCACTTTGATTTCAGTGGCACTGCAAAGGAATAGTTGATAGGAGAGTCATTCATTGCTACTTCAGAGCACAAATTAATTTATAAGAAACACATATCAGAGGTCTTTCGCAACACATTTAACCTGAGTAGGCGTGAATGTATCATTCCTTTGCGCCTGTTGCTTTCCAGATTGACATTAAAACTGTTTGAGGGAAGTGGACAGCAAGAGAGGTTTCCATTTTTGCAGCTGGGAGATCTTGGAGAAAAAATAGTAAGAAACAGAGTGAAGCAGAAATTTTTCCTAAGGGAAGCACCTGTGTTTTGAAATACCACTTAGACCGGTCCACGTATTTGATGAGATTGATTCAATTGCTCAAATAAGATATAATTATCTGTCTATGTTTGTATATAAATATATATGAATGTGTTATGTATGAAATACTATAATCCTTTACATTTTATCAAAAACTTGCCATTTTAGAAATTAAGTTATTTGTATGAAAAATGTCTATATGGTCTTATATTCATTTGGTAGAAGCTAATTATTTTAACAACACATTTAGTACAGTTTTAATAAGCATAATATTCAACTAGTTATTGATAACTTTATTGGTTTTCCATTTTTAAAAAATCACATTTTATATCATGTTTGGTAAAAAATTAAAAGAAAAAATACTTCAACAAATGCAAAGAACTTTGACAACTCTGTGAAAACAGGTTGTGCATAGTGGCCTTTTTTTAAACAAATAGAAACAAATAGCTCCTAGGAAAGAGTATTGACCATTAATATATACTAATGAAAATATTCTCCAAAATCAAGAACTGAATGTACCTCAAAGTATCTTTTGTCTTTTCACCTTCTAAGACTGATTCTTCAGGACATGTGAGAGGTGTGTTGCTAGAGAAGATGAAAAAGACAAGCTCGCTACCTAAACTTGTGGGGTTTGTTCCCTTAAATTTAAGAATATGAAGAACGCTTAGTTCTTATTTTTCAATGTTATTCTGACACTAGTGCAATAAACAAGCATACAAAAGTAATTTTCTGTTTTGATGCCAGTTTCAAAATTGTCAAGCTAATGATATAATAGATCTACCAGAAATGTAAATTGACTCTGAAAACCAGTATCAATCCAAGGACTGTATAATACTTGCACTGTCTAACTTGAGTTCCCTACTTTTTTGTTTTGTCTATAGACACCCTATTTTTGGCCATCAAATTGTTGGGAGCCGGAAAACACAGACTATGGTCAGTGTAGAAACCTTTCCTATTTCTTTCGGGAATTATGTATTATATGAATGAAGACATAATTGCAGTCTGTCTTGTTTAACCATCCCACTGTTAAAAACATAATTATATGTCATTTAATTCCTGTATAAGAATTGCTGATATTGAAATGAATGTGTTACTACATTTTTCAAAGTTTATTTAAAGTTTATTGGAAGTCAAACTTGGAGTTGATCTGAGGGTAAAAACGAAAAAAGCCTCAAAAGTCTTCAAAACCTAACTTGCCACTGACATCTGTTTGCTTTGGGAAGTGTAATTATTTACAGTAACTAAGTCTCAGTAAAGCACAGGACACTTTACTGATGGTTGTGCAATAGGTATTTTCAGACCCAAAGATGTACCTAGTTCATATCTCTCATATCTGATATAAGCTATATGGAAAATGATTTATTATGAAAACTAGTATGGTTCTAATATGAACGATATTAGAAAATACCTTGTTTATTTGCCTGTTTCTTGGGGTTTTAATCATAAATTACACATTGAAATTACTGATGTGTGCTTAGGAAAATCGGGACATAAGAGGCAGTAAAGTTTTACAAAAAACCTCACAACAAAATTAGGTGCCTCTGCATACCAAATAGTGGCCTAATTTTAAAAGAAGATGGCTTATCTGTGAGCAGTCTCCTGTTCATTCTAATCCAGACTGTAAGTACTCAGCTCATCTGTAGACCAGGTCACTTATTTAGATAACTAGGTATGCACATGATGGTTTACCTGTTTAAAAACTCAAAATTTGAAAGTCTCTATTTAAAGCTTTTTGGAAATTTAGGTATGTGTTCACTTGTAATATGGATTCAGTTGCAGCCCTTGGGAGCTGAAGACCACCAGGATGGTTCTAATAGATACTTCCTTCCTTCCTGCAGCAGACAGAGTTTAATTTCAAATACATTGCCAAATAAAACAATTTCAAGCCAAGACTCTCAGTAGAGCTGAGTGCATTCAATGTAGAGTTGAAAACAGTGACAGTTTCCTCATCTTATAGAAGGAGAAAAATGTTCATCTTTCTTTATTACACTGAGATTTGAAGATGTACAGCAAAATGTTATTGAAAGCTACAGAGGAAAAGTAATCCATACCACATCTGACTGATTAGCCACTCCGTATGAGGAAATTAGTCTCTGAAGGAGAAATGCTTGATTTACCGCTTATTACAGTGTTTTTCCTTTTCTTGAAACTGTTACTTGCTTTTCTCAGAGGGGCACTCCAGTATACTCTCCTGATATGTTAAAGATCAGAAAGTAATTTACTATGGTTTTAAGAGATGTTGAGTTGATTAACTGTAATATGTGTTACATTACCAGGGGGATTTTAAGAAATAACTATATGCTTAACAGGTCTGAATTTGAGATCAGGCTGAGAAAGTTTCAATTAATATCCTTTAAACTAAACTAGGAGAGACTAACTTTCTAGTCATAGCTGATTGGATTAGCCAATGAATTACACACCTTAGTAAATAGAAATCTTATACAATCTGTCCAGTTTTTGCATGCCAGAAATGCAGAATTAAACTTAGGATCAGTTTTTTCATCATGCAGCAAGGTGCCTTTCTTGGCAGTAAACATACTAGGTTTAGAGCTTTTGAAATGTAAAGATAAGTGGAAAATATGTTGCATTTGGTGAATTTAAGCTTTTCTGTTGCAGAGGCTTGAAGGAAGGGAAAGCCCTAACCCTGCCACCTCATTACTCCTTCTGAGTCAGGAGCCAAAGGTAGCAAACCTGTAAGAAACCCACCTGCAGTTCTGCCATGCAACAGGGTCAAAGCACTAGATTTACCTAAAGTGGCTGTGTGTCATTTGAATTGACTAATGCCAGAGCATTCACAGGAAAATAAGTTTTTAAGACAACTTCTCAATAGTTTTCTTACTAGGATAGCATCTTTCCAGTCCCAGAAATTAGCATTTGCACTGTGGCCTGAGGATTTTTTTCTGATACCTTTCCATGAGTTTAAAGAGAGGACAGATAAGGGGAGAACTGAATACAGCTATTTGCACAAAGGATCACATAACTGGTGTAAACAGTGTTGATCAGAGGATTACAGATGAATTAAACAGATAATATTCAAGAATCCAATCTAAAGTAGAATTGAAACAATTTGAGGATGTTACGTTTCATGTCAAATACACTCCAAAGAGGTTCTGCAGATTTCACAGTAATTGTTACTTCCTAGAAAATGTAATAAATAGAATTTGTGTTCTTACAGATATGCAAATAAATTTCATACTTGGCATGTATTATGGTGTTCTGCGGTGCTTCCGTTTTCATGGCCTTGTCCTGAACAAGCTTGAAACTGCACCTCCTAAAAGTAGTGGTTGTGGAAGGCATTAGGAGTCTCTCAAGGCTAGCAAGAAGTAGGCTTTCTCTGTAATCTTCCTTTATCAAAGTTATTAACAAAGCAAACCACTTTCTTTGGCATTGACCTGATTTTACAAGTCTTTACAAATACACTGCAATTTCATTTTAATTTAAAAATTGCTCCCAACCATTTACCATTACTCAGCCATAGCTGGGCTACTATCCAGAATGTAGCATACTGCCGGGAAAATAATTAATCTTAAACTAGAACTTAAATGAGATTGAGGTATTGCATATGTTAGTTTATTACCAGAGCTAACTCAGAAAGAAATAATCTTTACATCTTTGTATATATGTTAGTATCTTCTCTAAACTATAATTTCTTGTTCCACATGAGATTGTAATGTCAAATATTTTCATAAAAAGATATTTCTCTGTAGAAAATGTGAACAAAAAAGAAAACGGAGTCTTTCAGAATGTCAAGAAACTGCATATCCATTCTCATAAGAAAGCTATGTCTTGGTGGCAAAAAGAGGGCTTGAATTAATTTATTGTATGTCAAAGTGGAATCCTGTAACCTTTGGGTTTGATTATAACCATCAAAATATTGGCCATCTGATCATTCTGAGATTACTAAGAAGCTGTTCATTTTCAGAAAGTGCTGAAAATATCCCTCCCTTTTTCTTGAAAATAGTACTATGAGACCTCAAGAGAGATGCCTCAAATTGCAAATAAGTTTTTAAAAGGTGGTTTCTTAGGTTCCATCTGTCAAAGATACCCTTTTTAATGCCAAATGTCTTGGAGTCCACCCATGCAGGACATGTTGTTCTCTATAGAATCCCATTGTTTTCAACAGGATTTTATTAATGAAAAGAAGTCTGCATATTTATAATAATTATTTATAATAATTGATAATAATAATGCTAGTGTAATTGAAATCACTTTGCATTTTCTCTGAGTTAAATCATGTTTCTGAATTACAGTTTGGTTTTGTGACAAACAGAATTTAATCTCAGTTCAGAAAACTGGCTCTGGAAATGAACACAGCTAGTGGCTGAGCATAACCTACCTCTTTTCTTATAGATGTACTTTTGTAACCAGCTTTTTTTTTTTTCTGGCAGATTAGAACCAGTTCATGTCATTAAGAATTAATTATATACGGAGACTTACTAAGTCCATTTCCTCTCAGAAAGGAGAAATATGAATCCAAACATCATATTATTCCATATGCATTTGGTCTCAGTTCTCATGGGACCTGTCAGGTTCTCTTGGAAGTTTAGTGGCTTACAGCAGTTGCAAATTTGAGAAATTCAATTTCTTACTGTTATCTTTTTTTTGAATGAGATAAGAAAGGTTAGGAAAAAAATTCAATTCACAATGAAATAGCAATTATTGTTGTGTTTGGAAAGTCCAAGCTTAAGCCTAAATATACGAATGTAGTTGTGGCAATGTTGGAGGCTTATAAGAATTTCAGACATATAAGATATGAAGAAGAATCACTAACTTCTACTTGTTTTCTGTAGTCCACTTATGTTGATGGTTAGTTTCGAAAGTGTCTGTAACAGAGACCTTTTCTTACAGTTAACCATGTGTTAAAAGAAATATGTTCAAAGGAGATACAGAATAAAATTTTGAAAGTGTCAGAGTCACTCATACTGTTAAGGAGGCTTGGACTAATGCTAGAAGGCAACAGTCAACTGCATCTATACAATTACAAGAGAATGCTGTTCAGCCTTGTAATTTTGTGTGCATTTCTCCCAAATGAATTAAAAATGAAGGATGATTGCAGGATCTTAGTAAGTTATGGAGAACACAGTAAATAACTGATAATGCAACACGAGTGCACATGTCCATGTGATCTGTAAAGGATGCTAAATGAGAATTCTGTGTAGTCAAAGCAGATTGTTACATTGTGCTGTTGTGAAGAAGGGCTATTTTCAGTAGCCTTCTGGGTAAAGTTATGTGCTGTAAAGACAGTCTTCTAGGAAATCAGAGCAACTACAAGGAAAAAAAAAAATTAATTGCTCCCATTAAAAGTGTAAGTTATCTGTCTGAATAAATGCTGCTTGTAAGTTTCTGTGACAGTTCTATATATATATATATATTCACGACTGTTATCCAGTCTTAGTTGCAGTAAAGAAAGCATCTACTTTTGCTATGAAAAAGTTGTTGCCTCATAGCTGTTCTTCAGCATTTTTATGAAAGCAAAAGTGTATCCTTTCATTATTTATTTATTTATAATCAGCTAATAAGTCAGTCTGTACAAAGCTTTCCTTCTTACTGCTCCTATATTCCTATTGTTTAAGAGTAAACTGACAGACTTCTGTGTTCAGCCTCTGCTGCTCTGTTCTGAACATGAGCCATCACACCTGGCCATCTGCCTCTCCTCTGCCAAACTTGCAGTCATGTTAAAGAGTGCATAGTGCACAAAAAGTAATTGCAGTTGTGTATCATGTTTTTCACATATTGAAAATTTTCATATTATTTTCTCTCTAGAGTTTGTTGCCTACTTATTTCACGTGGCTAGCTGCAATCTCTATGAAAATCTGATTAGTTCAGGAATTTTCTCTCTCATTTATCTTGCTGCACCCTCTCCCATAGAGTGAGTAACCGTACAGCTGATGCATTATATACTTTCTTTGCCCAAATGCTCAGGCAAGATTCCC